CAGGTGCTGGTGAGTCTGCTCTCTCTGGTACTGCGCCCACTGCGGTCTCGCACACCTTCACCCTTGACTCAGGAGCTTCCCGCTCCTTCTTTCGCGACTGCACCACACTCACGCCGCTTAGTCGGCCAGTTCCAGTCTCCCTGGCGGACCCCTCCGGGGGTCCAGTCCTTGCCCACTACTCCACGGTTCTGCCGTGTCCGGCCGCCCCGTCTGGCTCGCTGTCAGGTCTTTACCTCCCCTCGTTCTCTACGAACTTGGTGAGTGGTGCTGACCTCCAGGATCGGGGGGTTGACCAGTTCACTCCTGCGAGTCAGCGAGTGACTCACTGTACGTGTGCTAGGACGGGCCGACACTTGGCCACGTTCACCCGTGCACCTGGCTCGAGTCTGTACACACTGACCACTGCGTCCCCTCAGGTAGCTGCGTCTGCGTCTACGTCTGGTCAGCTAGCGGCCCCCTGCGAGTGTCGCGCTTTGTCGCACGACACTCTCCTGTGGCACCACCGCCTTGGTCACCCCTCCCTGCCTCGCCTTCGTCGCATGCACTCTCGCTCCCTGGTCTCTGGCCTTCCCAGGTCTTTGCCTGCCCTCCCTCCCTCGCCTGCGCCGCCCTGCATTCCTTGCGTCGAGGGGCGGCAGCGCGCCGCTCCTCACTCCTCCTCGTTCCCTCCCACAGAGGCTCCGCTGCAGACGCTCCACCTGGACGTGTGGGGCCCAGCCCGCGTCCAGGGACAGGGCCGCGAGCGGTACTTCCTGCTGGTTGTCGACGACTACACGCGTTACACCACGGTCTTCCCCTTGCGCAGCAAGGCGGATGTCCCTGCTGTTTTGATCCCTTGGATCCGCGCTGCTCGTCTCCAGCTCCGCGACCGGTTCCAGTCGGACTTTCCTGTCCTGCGTCTGCACTCTGACAGAGGTGGTGAGTTCTCCTCAGACCTCTTGGCAGCCTACTGTGCGGAGCACGGCATCACCCAGTCGTTCACGCTTCCGGCCTCTCCGCAGCAGAATGGGGTTGCTGAGCGTCGCATTGGCTTAGTCATGGAGGTCGCTCGTACCTCCATGATCCATGCGGCTGCCCCCCATTTTCTGTGGCCGTTTGCGGTCCGGTACGCCGCGCATCAGCTCAACCTCTGGCCCCGTGTCTCCTTGCCGGAGACCTCGCCCACACTGCTGTGGACGGGGGAGGTTGGCGATGCGTCGCGTTTCCGGGTCTGGGGTGCCCGTGCCTTTGTCCGCGATACCACCGCGGACAAGCTCTCCGCCCGCGCTGTTCCCTGTGTCTTCCTTGGCTTTGTCCCTGACGCGCCTGGTTGGCAGTTTTACCACCCCACCTCGCGCCGTGTCTTTGCGTCTCAGGACGTCACGTTCGACGAGTCGGTTCCCTTTTACCGTCTCTTCCCCTACCGCACTGCCCCTCTCCCCCCCCCGCCGCTCTTCCTCGCTCCAGGTGCTCCCCAGGTCGACCACCTCCCCGCGTCAGGTCCTGCTCCTTCAGGTGTGTCTCAGGTAGACCCTCCTCCCTTGACTGCGCCGGTTGAGGTCACTGGTGACTCAGGTCCTGCTGAGGGTGGTCCTGCTCGGGGTGTTCCTTCTGGGGGTGCGGAGCCTGGAGGTGCTGAGCCTGTTGAGCCTGGGGGTGCGGAGCTTGAGGGTGTGGAGCCTGGAGGTGCTGAGCCTGAGTGTGAGGAGTCTGGAGAGGGTGCGGGCGCTGGAGGTTCTGGAGCTGCTGGAGGTCCTGGTGCTGGTGGCGCTGGAGCTGTTGGTTCTGGAGCTGCTGAGGGTGCTGGCGCTGGAGGTTCTAGAGCTGCTGAGGGTGCGGGTGCTGGAGGTTCTGGAGCTGCTGGAGGTGCTGGCACTGAGGGTACTGGCGCTGAGGGTGCTGGCGCTGAGGGTGCTGGCGCTGAGGGTTCTGAGTCTGCTGTTGCGCGGTCTCCTTGGAGTGGCCGCCTTCGTCCGCGTGTGCCTCTCACCTCCCAGCAGCTGCACGACTGGTACGGTCGCCGTCAGGGTCGCGCATCTGGAGCTAGGGGCTCTCCTACTGGAGGTCCTTCTGCTGCCGTCTCTGGAGCTGGGAGAGGTGCTGGTCCTGGAGGTGCTCGTACTGGGGGTACTGGAGCTGCTGGGGCTGGAGGTGCTGAGCCTGCGGGTGCTGCTGCTGGGGACACTGCGACTGGAGACCCTGGGACTGGGGGTGCCGGTTCTGGGGGTGCTGTTGCTGGTAAAGCTGGTCCTGGAGGAGCTGGAGCTGCGGTTTCTGGAGCTACTGGAGGTGCTGGAGCTGCTGGGGGTGCTGGAGCTACTGGTGCTGGTGGCACTGCACAGCCGCGCCTGTTCTTTGCTCCACCGTCTCCGTCGTCTCAGCCACCGCCTGACTCTGTGCTTCGCCAGGTTCTTAGTCTCCCTTCGTCTACTGGTCTTCCGTTACAGCCTGGCTCACCGCTGCCTGCTCCTTCTCCTTACACTGAGCAGTCAGGGGGTCTTACTGAGCGTCGTGAGCCAGCGTCGCGTCCTGTCTCGCCTGTTCGTCCTGGTCGTACTGGTCGTCGTGTTCCTTGTCAGCGTCGGCCAGCTGTCCCCGGCACACGCCTTGTAGCCCTGCGTCGGTCCTCTACTCCGGAGCGTCCTCCTCTTCCGTCTCCCCCTGCGTCCTCTTTGCCTGACGTCGCGGACCCTGAGTCTGACCGGTTTCGTGCTGAGCACCCTACTGTCACGCGTCTGTTAGCCACTGTCGTCACTGACCCGTCGTTTGAGTCTACTGCTGCGTCTGCCTTGGTTGCTGAGCTTGTTGACTTTGCTGCTGCCTGCCGTCTAGACTACGCCGCTAGTCTTGTTGCTGAGTCTGAGTCTGTCTGTCCTCCGTCCGTCGAGGGTGAGTGTGCTCTTAGCACGGACGTCTTTGAGGACAGGCATGAGGACCTTGAGTGTCTTGCAGCCGCTGCGCCTCATCTCGTGGCCATGCTGCTTGCCCCTGAGGGAGACCCGGATGCACCAGACATCCCGACCCCGCGCTCTTACGCTGAGGCGATCGCAGGTGAGTACTCCTCTCAGTGGCAGACAGCCATGGACGCAGAGATGGCATCCTGGAAGTCCACTGGCACTTACGTCGACGAGGTTCCCCCTCCTGGGGCGAACATCGTCAGTGGCATGTGGATTTTCAGGGTGAAGCGGCCGCCAGGTTCTCCGCCTGTCTTCAAGGCTCGTTACGTTGCTCGAGGCTTCAGTCAGCGAGAGGGAGTTGACTTCTTCCAGACCTTCTCCCCCACCCCGAAGATGACCACTCTTCGGGTGCTGCTGCACGTTGCCGCTCACCGTGACTACGAGCTTCACTCTTTTGACTTCAGCACAGCTTTCTTGCAGGGCAGCCTGCACGAGGAGATCTGGCTGCGCCGCCCCCCGGGCTTCACTGGGTCGTTCCCTCCTGGTACCCAGTGGAGCCTCCGGCGGCCGGTCTACGGTCTCCGCCAGGCGCCACGTGAGTGGCACGACACACTGAGGACTACGCTTGCGGCTCTTGGGTTCGCACCTTCTACTGCTGACCCGTCGCTGTTTCTGCGCACCGACACTTCGCTGCCGCCGTTCTACATCCTCGTGTACGTTGACGACTTGGTCTTTGCCACTGCTGACACTGAGGCTCTCGCCCTCGTGAAGTCGGAGCTGCAGAAGAGACACACGTGCACAGACCTGGGTGAGCTGCGCAGCTACCTTGGCTTGCAGATCACCCGGGACAGAGCACGCCGCACCATCACCCTGACTCAGTCACACATGGTGCAGCAGGTCCTTCAGCGCTTCGGCTTCACCTGGTCTTCAGCACAGGCCACTCCTCTGGCTACAGGTCACTCGCTCTCAGCTCCACCTTCGGACGAGTCCGTAGAGCCGAGTGGTCCTTACCCAGAGCTAGTCGGCTGCCTCATGTACCTGATGACTTGCACTCGACCTGACCTCGCGTACCCTCTTGGTCTTCTGGCTCGCTACGTGGCTCCTGGTCGGCACCGACCTGAGCACATGGCTGCTGCTAAGAGGGTACTGCGCTACTTGTGCAGCACATCAGGCATGGGGCTAGTGCTTGGAGGGACGAGCCCAGTTGTCCTCACTGGGCACTCAGACGCTTCTTGGGTTGACGACCAGGCTACTCAGCGGTCGTCACAGGGTTACACCTTCAGCCTTGGCTCTGGTTCAGTTTCGTGGCGTTCTACACGCTCGTCTTCAGTTCTCAGCTCCAGTTGTGAGGCTGAGATCTACGCCACAGCCATGGCTGCACAGGAGTTACGCTGGCTCACCTATCTGCTGACTGACTTGGGAGAGCAGCCTCGTTCTCCTCCAGTGCTGTACGTCGACAACAAGGCCGCCATTGCCTTGTGTGAGGAGCACAGACTGGAGCACAGAACGAAGCACATCGCTCTGCGTTACTTCCTGGCTCGAGAGTTGCAGCAGCGAGGTCATCTTCGTCTTCGTCACATGGCCACTCGGGCCAACACTGCTGATATATTCACCAAGGCACTTCCGTCTGGTGATCATCAGCGCTTTTGTACCCTGTTAGGTCTTGTGCCTACGTTTCCACACTTGCTGTAGTCTCTGCTTGTACTGTGATCTATATATATACATGCATGCCTGCTCTTGCTAGGTAGTCATCACTGTACTGTTATTGTTGCATATATATCTCTGCATGTGGACTGGCCTTGTGGCTCTTTGCTTGTGCTCAGAATGTGTGGTGACTTTGAGATCCACCCTGAGCTTGCTTTGCTTCTCTTGACTGGTCGTGTGACCCCTTGTTCTCCCCCACTTTGCCTATGGGGGTGTGTCAAACATATATGCTGCATATTGTCTAGGCTGTAGTGGGATAGCCCATATGGGGTACAACCCAATTAGGGTTTAGTACTTGTACTCCTGCATGCTGCTAGTTCATCCATTCCTGCTGCTAGATTCTAACAGAAGTCGCACAGGGAGCATGTCCAGACCTCGACATCGAGGTCTACGCCAATGAGAAGAAGGCCTGGATCCTTCTTAAAAGCTGCTGGGGCAGGCTGCTGTCCAATCAGCCGTCCTGCGAGAAACAACAGAGGGTGCCAGTGCGCGGAGAGAGGGAAGAATCAAGGCCTTGCAGGTGATCAGCGAGGGAGAGGGGAAAGGATCGTTGTGACAGGAAGCAGTGGAACTGAAAGAGAACACCGCTGCAATATGATAAGCCGGAAAGTCACAGAATAAAAAGGCAGGAAGCAAAAGGGCGGTAAGCAATAGGAGCACCCAGAAGAGAGGTGTACTGTTGACAGATTGCAGCTGAGACACCGAAATGGTGTGACGGTTGGGGAGACATGCCCGACGGGTGAGGGCGAAGCAGGCATGGTCAGACACACGGTGGTTACTGGAACACACGGAGCAAGAGTGGGACGAGATGTTGAGGAGCACCGGGTCCTCCTGGCCCGGAAGCCAGAGAATCGCGGGGATGCGCTCGAAGCTGACATCACCTTCTGCTGCCACTGGCAGACCGAGCAGCTGGGAGTACGCGGAGTCATCGTACGGGTCTTTGAGGCGATGAAACAGGCAGATATCCGACAGACAAGGCTGCCCAGCGTCAGTCACGCCAGCCAGAAGAGTGCTGCGCAGGCGTTCAGGAGAGTATCCCAGCGGCACGTTGCGGAGGACCATGTGAGTGTCGCCCCTGGCTCGGGCCATCGTGAACTCCAGGTTAGGATCAGAGAACACTTTCACTTCCATCGCGCGATTGTTAGCAAGACGAACAGAAACCGGAAACAAGGAGCGGAAAATCCTTGCATCGTTAGCAGACAGCCAGGAATAGGAGTGCCTGGAGTAGGTACGGCGGGGAAGCCGCAGAGCCTCACCAGCGGCCGACTCATACGAGGGGATTATGCCATTAAAGGCCTGACCGTTGATGAGAGCCGAGATGCGCGCAAGCACCGCAGCACGAACCTCCTCGGCGGAAGACTCAGGGAAGATAACATCCACCAAGGACTGCGTGTTCCGCGTCAGCGTGTGCAGGACTGTGCCGACCGTCGTACGGTGGCGACGCAGGTTCCGAAAGCGAATGTTAGGAGCGAGGCCATTGGCCACGCCAGCAGCAGCGTGCTCGGGTTCAGGTTCCGGCTGCACGGGCCGGGAGCGAGAAGCAGGCGCCGAACGAGGCGCAGAAGGAGCATGCGCGCGGCCAAGCGCAGGAGCCGTGGCGTCGGAGCTACCGGAAGAGCTCGCACGGGGGATCGGCAGGGGAGCCGAGGTTGATGCGGAAGCGACCCCAGAAGGGCCAGCAGCCGAGGACTGCCCCTCACCACATAGCTTTTTCGCAGCCGGTTCGCCCGACGGGGACGGTTGCGTACCGACAGGAGCAGAGTGCGCGACCTCATCATTGAGCACGGGCAGAGCGCCGTCAGAGAGATCCTCGAGGAATTCTTCCCCAAGGTCATCGAGGGTATCGTCGCCGACAGGGATCTGACCCTCCGTCATAACGTAGTCAGGGTTATGCTCCGTAGCCATGGTTGCGAGGGGTGATCGTAAGAGAAACGAGAGGAAGAGTTTATACCGGAGGCGAGGGGAGAAGCCCGAAGGCAACGGAGCGACAGAGAACAGCGCGGAAGGCAAAAGCCCGGATCGCGCAATGTGAGCAAGAGAGCGGCTCAAGCGCAAAGAGGTGCCTTGGCAATGGTCGTAGCAACCGTGAGAACATGACTGGGAGCCAGATCGGCTACCCGAGCCGGAAAGGGACGCATGTGAAAGGCAAAGAGACACCAAGCCACCACGAGGGTTTGCGAGCTGGTCGTGAGGTGGAACAGGTAGGCCAGGGTCTGGAGGATGGAGCAGGACCGCCGCAAGGGCCTTGCATGAGAGAATGCAACCAAAGGTGGTCCATCCTGACTCACAAACGACTTGAACAGGGAGGTCTTCATGATAAGGTAACAAATTCCTTGATTCGAGCGAAAAACAGCCATCATTTAAGGTCAAGACACGGCCTTTGCTGAAGTGGCGAACTGTGACAGCACAACAACCCGTAAACAGCTTGCAATCCCAACTCACCTCTCCCAGGATGCCGGAGTAGAGAAGGCGAAGAAGAACTCGAGATATCAAGAACCTGCGCACAAGTCCCTCGTTATTGTACAAGAAACACCGCTTACTTTCAAGAAGATCGATCCGAAAAGAAAACCGAACGCAAAAAGCGTTATCATCGTAGCGATCCAAAGGTGTTGAAGGGAAACGAGAGCTAGTGCAAACGAGGACGAGAAGCAGCAGGGAAGAGGAGAGCTTCATTTTTTTTTTTTTTTTCCAACACTTGTGGCGTAGACATGGGCTGCTGCCTGAGTGCTTGATGCCTCCGCGTGGTTCGTGGCCAAGGCGAGGGCTGTTGGTGTGGCGCCAGCCTTTCCGGAGCTGACACGTCGGACTTCACGCCTGGTTGAAAAGGTTAGGAACTTCGATGGTGGCAGGCGGCGGCTCGTAAAAACTGAGGGAGGGAAGAGAAGGGTGGAGGAGATGGACAAGCTGGCTGGCTGTGGTGTCTTGTTCACAAAGCTAACCGTTTTCCGTTTGTAATTTCTTCAATATTTCCATCCTAAACTTTGACCCATCATGTACCTTGAATTTTGAAACAATGATTGTACTTTTTTTTTTAGAGATGCGTCTGGTTTTATTTCTATACTGGTTAATTTACTGTCCAATGTGCTTCGTAGCATTTAACCAGCTTTGCACATGACCATCAATATAACCAGCTATATCACACAACAGAATCTGCATATACTCCTTTTTTTTCACTCGATTTGACAACAAGCTTATGTCAGGAGCTATTGGTGATGGTGGAGAGCATGCGGTTGGCTCGAGTTTCACGCCCTGATCTCATGCCCAAACCGCTCCACGCCCTAGATCTCTCCGACAGTTCAGACCTGACCATGACAGCCTGCATGCATCTCGCGCCAGACTCACTCTTCGCTCCCTCCACGGTCTCCGGATTCTAAACTTCAATCTCAGCTTGTTCTTGAATTCGCGCTCACCTCCTTGTTCTCTGCTCCTCCTGGTCTGCAGCTTTTTCGCAAATCCGCGTTCACCTCCTCCTCTGCACGCAGTGCTTCTCCAAGCTTGTTCGAAGCAGCAGTACTAGTTCGTCGACGATGGATAGCGCCATGTGGCCGATTCTGATTCTTCTTGCCCCGCCGTTGGCGATGTTCGCCGGTGTTTTCTCCTTGTACCAGTTTTCGCAGCTTTATCTCCTGTTTGTCCGGATTGGCCTTCGTCCGAACGAAGGCGCATGGCGTTATGTCAGGCCGTATCACCGAAACATGGTCAGTATCGTTGTTTATTTTGCGGTCTTGATTGTATGTTTAGATTTTCTGTTGGGATCAAAACTTTGTATTCCTCCTTCGGCGTTGTCTTCACACAGGTGAAGGTGCTCAACCAGACCCTCGGCGACGCTGACAAGTTCTTGTCCAAGATACAACCAACCCATGTCATCCTGTGCGCCATGCTAATTGTTCTACTCGTCCAGCTAGAGCGACTGATTAGTCAAGCAAGCGCGAGCTCCCGCTCACGGCGCTAGGTTGTGTGGAGGCGCCAAACACCAATCTGATGGGGTTTGGCAGCTTGAGAGAGCAGCAATCAACGATGGGCTGAAGGTAATCAAATTAAGTGGATGTTTTAAACGGATTAAATACGCTTGTTCACTTGTCAATTGTAGCATTATTGAGCTTAAATGTACAGACCAGAATTAATGGAGCTGTATAGGATGTCTCATACAGTTCTGAACATATGTTAGGACTTGAAGAACTTTGAAACGCGAATGGACTATCTCCAGGTTCCCTCATCTCAAAAATCCACACACACCGATTCCAACGAGGCGCGGATGGGCACTGGTCTCGGCTTGGCTCGGCACTGCCGTCAGTCACCCACCCCGCTTTTCCCCCCCAACCTCTCAGCCGCCACAAATTTCTGCGCTGCAGCGTGCTTCCTGCGCTGCGTCCCCTTCCCCTCCCCCGGACATCACTTTCCCCTCCATCCCCCCAGCTTCCGCCTGTCCTTTCAGCGCGTAAAGCCAGGGTCTTATGTACTACAAGTGTTTTGCAGTCGACAGTGCAAGTTTGTGTGTGATTGGTTGGCGAGTTGTGAAGTTTGAAGAGGGGTGAAGCGAGGGGTACGAAACGAATCCAAATCGCTAGGTGTAGCCGAACCTTCTAGGTTTGTAAATTTGGTTCGGAACCAAACCTAAAATGCCCCAGACTCGTGCAATTGCTTTTGAGGCACTGACGGGAGAAGGTTTCCAACCCAACCAAAGAGAAATTCGCCTGCACTAACAAGGTAACCTATCTTCAACTGCTTTGCAGTTGATGGCTGCTTTGCTTACTTGAGACCCTGGCTTTAAGGGGGTGTCTGAAGTGAACGTCGACGAAACTCGACGATACTGTAGGGAATGTCGACGAATCTTAACGGTCGGAACTCTCGATCGGAGGGTGGAAATTCGCCGACGTCCCCGACGAATTTGTAGCATTCGTCGACGTTGCACTTCAGACACCTCCTAAGGGCGTGTAAAATCGGCGTGCATTTTAAAAAATGGGGTTTGGCCGGGTTTTGTCGACCAAATGGTCGACACTTCTTTCGCACATGTCGACCTGATGGCCGAATTAGAGTCGACCAGTATTTGCAGGTCTGCAAATTTTACAACTTTGCAGGCCGAATTGCTGGCCGACTCCAGAAAACTTGTAAAATTTGCAAGTGCTACAGTAGGAACGTTTGTGCGACGGGGTCGCACATATGACGGCGAAGTCTCTGATTCGACAAGAGAAAATAATCTGTCGTTCTGCGAGACTGTGCGACGTCGCACGTGACAGTCGCTCACGGAGTCGACTACTTGGCCGAATTGGAGTCGACATGGTGTCGAATTCGAGTCGACTTTCAAAACGGCCATCAATTTCGTTTTTTATTCGCGAAATTTGCGATGGTCGCGAGCGTCTTCGCGAAACTCGCAAACGGGTTACTTTCGCCAATTCGGCCATTCGGCTTGTGGCCGAATTTTTAGGTGCAGCGATTTTACACGCCCTAACATCCGGTGGCTCGGCGCGACTTTACAGCTCCGCAAATTGGCGCATCCTGACAGTCCAGACCAGACACACCACACCCCAGTCTCCAGGAAATCCTAGGTAGCAGTGCCTGGTGGTCCTGAACCAAAGAACGTACGGTCCTGTCCTCTCTGTGCGAGTGACTCACGAAAATGCTTAGCTCCGTTTCGTTTTGAGCGCTAAGTTATTGTGTTTCTTGAAACCCATCCATGGCGGAAGCGACTGTGGTGAGGTGGCATCGCGACAATCAGTCTTCAAGTCACAACGTTCCGCGAACTAGCTCCGCACAGTCGCCGTCAGGCACGCCGCGTGACCATAACGCGGCCGTCTTATCGCCAGCATCAGTCGGCCAATCGTCACGTCTCTCACACCTGGGAAGGGAGAACCAGGGTCGGCAGCAGTTACACGCTCAAATGTCTGCTAGATTTAGGTAGGAGTGTACCGCCATTGCTTTGCTGTGGTTACTTGCACGCACTCTGTACGCAGTACACTCGTTTTCCAAAGACTGAAAGTTTTGGTTCGAATTATCATTTTAATACGTTATCCGTCTACACTTCCAGGTCTCGCCGGCGCTTTCCTTCTCCCACGCAATCTCGTCTTTTTCCCGCTGTCCCGTTCCGCCATTCCCGTTTTCCGCCAGGCATCCCCCTGGCGCAGCGGAGAGGCCGCGCGAAGCCGCAGAAACAGCCGCGGAACGAAACGACGGTGTAGGCCAATCCAGAAGAGAACGATCCGACGGTGTAGGCCAATCCAGAAGGGAACGATCCGACGGTGTGAGCCAATCCAGAAGGGAACGATCCGACGGTGTAGGTCAATCCAGAAGGGACCTCGCAGGGAGTTCTGCGAATGCCACGTCTGCTAGCACTCCAAACGGTCACCATGGCCGCGGGAAGCTGGCCGTCGCGTTTCGGGACGACGAGCATGAGGATGACGATGACGGGGAGTATTTAGATTGCGATGACGATCACGAGGCGATGTTCACCCCGCGGGCGATGTTCACCCCGCGGGAGAGCCTCGCGACAACGCCGCGAGAGAGTCACGCGATGACGCCGCGAGACGCGCGCGACGGCGGACAAACGGAGGGGCGGGAGGATGGCGGGACGGAGGAGGATACAGATGATAAGAAGGAGGAGACGGATACAGATGACGATGATGGGGAGGATGGCGAGGACGGGGAGGATGGCGACTCGGAAGATGGTGCAGACGACGCGATTCGAGACGACAGCGATGTCAATCTGGCGGCCATGCGTAGCCTCAAGGCGTCGCGCAGCCGCAGGGGCATGGTGTCGTTCGCGGACAGGGGGAGCGGGAGCGAGGGGGGCGGGGGGGACGGGGAGGGGGATGATGGGTACAACGAGGAGGTGGAGCAGCGGGAGAAGCTCGACCAGGAGGTCATTCAGGGTGCGTGCTGTGCTGGGTGCTGGGTGCGTGCGGATGCTTGAGGTGTTCTTTTTGCTCTGGTGAGTGTTTTTTGCGGAGAAACGCCACCACCAGAGGATTATTTAGGGTGCGTGCAGACGTCAGTTAATTTCTTGAGTCGACCCGAACCTCGTCCAGGAGGTTATATAGGGAGCTTGCAGTTGCCAGGAGCTGGAGGTGCGGTTTGATTTCAGGTGATTCTTAACCGTCGTCTCTCCTCTTTCTCTTCTTTCTCCTCACTGCCTTTCCTCGTCCCTCCCCCAGCCATGTACGAGCGAGTGAAGCACATGGGAGAGCTGATGGACAATTTCAAGAACATGTTCTTCTTCCTCTGCTACACCTGCCTTTACCTTACCGTGCTCCTTCTCTTTCCCTCTCCCCGTTCCCCCACTCATTCCCAGCCATGTACGAGCGAGTGAAGCACATGGGGGAGCTAACGGACAACTTCAAGAACCTGTTCTTCTTCCTCTGCTACACCTGCCTTTACCTTACCGTGCTCCTTCTCTTTCCCTCTCCCCGTTCCCCCACTCATTCCCAGCCATGTACGAGCGAGTGAAGCACATGGGGGAGCTAACGGACAACTTCAAGAACCTGTTCTTCTTCCTCTGCTACACCTGCCTTTACCTTACCGTGCTCCTTCTCTTTCCCTCTCCCCGTTCCCCCACTCATTCCCAGCCATGTACGAGCGAGTGAAGCACATGGGGGAGCTAACGGACAACTTCAAGAACCTGTTCTTCTTCCTCTGCTACACCTGCCTTTACCTCGCCGTGCTCTACCTGCAAGCCGACGCCTCCATCTGCTACCAAGTCACCACCGCCCACAACGTGCTGCTGCCGCCAGTATGTGGGGAAAACGGGAAGGGGGTGGTGTGTATGTATGCGTGTATGTGTGTGTGCTTGTGCGTGCATGTCGCCTCCTTCTGCTACCAAGTCACCACCGCCCACAACGTGCTGCTGCCTCCGGTGCGTTTAGAGGGGGGGGGGTTGTGACGGGGGGAGCTGGGAAGGGATGGTTGGGTGTGTAGGGGGCGGAGGCGGGTGGTGTAGATGCATGCGTGTATGTGTGTGTGCATGTCGCTCCATCTGCTACCAAGTCACCACCGCTCACAACGTGCTGCTGCCGCCGGTGCGTGTAGAGGGGATGAGTGGTCAGTGGTGTGTACTTGACTGTGTGTGTGCTCGCACACACGGTGGTGGGTGTGTGCGTATGTTTGCATGCATGCGTGACTCACGCATGTGTGCGACATCTGTGTGCATTTGCATCCGAACCTGAATCAGGCGTCGCACCCCCCCTGTCTCTTCCCCCCCTTCTCCCCCCCTTCTCCCCCCATTCCTCCCCCCAATCCCCCTTCATTCTAATGCGCAACTCATTGGCAGGACTACACGGCAGCAGCGTCCATGACCATGAACGGTCCAGACGACTTCTACTCGTGGCTCAACCACACCTGACATCTTTCCTCCCTCTCTCTCCTTCCCCTCCCTCTGCTCGCAGGACTACACAGCAGCGGCGTCCATGACCATGAACGGTCCAGACGACTTCTACTCGTGGATCAACGACAGCATCATACAGGTGTGTGTGTGTCCGATGGTCAATCCACATGAAACAAGGCGCCTCAGAACAGTCCATACGACTTCTAAGCATATCGATTGACGCCAGCATCCTACAAGAGTGTGTGTGTCCAATTGTCGATACGACCCAACATAATTCCAAAGACCTCGTGTGAAACAGAATATTCTTGTAACCGTGACCAATTTCTCTCCCCCTTCCCCCAAACTCCCCTCCCTCAGGTGGTATGGAAGGACCCCCCATGCGGCAACGGCATTTGCGAGCGCCCCCTTGAGTTTGAGGCCTTTGGTCGCTTTGGCTGCTCGGCGGACTGTGGGGACCTGACAGAAGTGACCAGCGTGACGGTGCACCTCACCACCGACTTCCATTCTGCCTTGGACGCTGCTGCCTCCTCCTGGAACCTCTGCCGCGATGCTCCCACCCCTCTCTGCTGGTTGGTGCTCCCATCCCCACCGCTCCGCTCCCCCTTCCCTTCTCCGCCCTCTCTTCTCTCCTCGCTCTTCTCTCACCGCTTTCCTCTGGCAGCAGTGACCAGTGTGACCATGCATGCACCTCACCACCACCGAGTCCCACTCTTTCCTTTCCTTGACGCCGCTGCCTCCTCCTGGAACCTCTGCCGCCGCGCCCCCACTCCTCTCTGCTGATATCCCCCCACACCCGCCCTCCCTTCTCTGCTGGAACCCTCTCTCTGCTGGCATCGGGCATTAAAGTCACGCTCGCTCGTTCCTTCAAGGCATGCTGCGTTGCAACTCCTCTCAATGTTTCCGTCACCCCTTTTCAACCCGTTTCACCCCATTGCACGCACCAGGTACCCAGAGGACCAGCAGTTCACAGAGCTCGCATCGGACACGCAGGTCACGCTCTCTCTGCCAGACGGCTCATGGTCTCTCGTGCTCAATGCCCCGGGGGGAGGTGTGGCTGGCACCGTCAGGCTCACCGGCAGCAGAAATGCCGCTTTTGCTGCTGCTGCTGTGGCTGCTGCTGGTATTGGCGGTGGCAGCAGCGTCAGCGGAAACAGCAGCAGCAACAGCAACAGCAGCAGCAGTGACAGCGGCAGCGGCAGCAGTGGGGGGATTGGCGGTATTGGGAAGGTGCTGGTGACGTGGGGGGGGTGCCAAACGTCAGACCTTACTCCCTTGTCCGAATGCCGATCGGTGAGTGAGAGAGTGTGAGATAGCATAAGCACCATCCGAGCGAGTGTAGTTGAGAGGTTGTGTGGATGCACCCTGATTTATGACTGTCTCCGCACACCCTTCCTACGCACCCCTCTCTTAGCGCTTCTCCTTTTGCCTACCTGCCTACAGGCCTGCTCGCGCTTTGCAGGCTGTCTGGCCAACTACTGTGGGGTCGGAGAGGGTATTCCCCTGCAGTCCCCTCGTCCCTCTCTGTCCCAAGTTCTCCCCCCCTTCTCGCCCCCTCCTTTCCTACCTGCCTGCAGGCCTGCTCGCGCTTTGCGGGCTGTCTGGCCAGCTACTGTGGGGCTGGAGGGTACTCCCCTGCAGCCCCCTCCTCGCACTTTGTCCCCAAGTTCTTCCCCCCTTCTCGCCCCTTCCTCTCCTACCTGCCCCCTCCTCTCCTACCTACCTGCAGGCATGCTCGCGCTTTGCAGGTTGTCTGGCCAGCTACTGTGGAGGGTACTCCTCTGCAACCCCTTCCTCGCACTCTGTCTCCAGATTCCCTCCCTTCCCCTCCTCGCCCGTTCCTCTCCGACCTACTCGCAGGCGTGCTCGCGCTTTGCAGGCTGTCTGGCCAGCTACTGTGGGGCTGGAGGGTACTCCCCTGCAGCTCTCTCCTCCCTCTTTGTCACATGCGCCTCTGCTTGCAATGACAACTCATCCCTGCCCTTCCTGCCCTTTACTGATTTCTCCTGCGCTGAGGTGAGTGAGTGAGGTTTGAGTTGACTCAAGGGTCAAATGCGTAATGCACCTCGCTAGCGGGCCTTCTTGGTCCCCTCTTTGGCACATGCGCCTCGCCTGCAACAACAATTCGCCTCTGCCTTTCCTGGCATTCGCGGCTTTTCTCTTACACTTCCTGACATGCGATGAATAATGTACTGCTGTGAGTGCATTATCTCGCGTTTCCCTCACATTCACTCCCTCCCTCCCTCCCTCCCTCCCTCCCTCCCTCCCTCCCTCCCTCTCTCTATCACAATAGCACACTCATCCACTCTCGTTTCAAGTCCGTCCCCACTGCCACCATCCCATTACAGCCTCCTTTGCCCATGTTGCCACCTCCCTCAAATCTCAAGCCCTGCCCCTGTCACTGTGCCCATCAACGCTCTGCCCCTTGCACTCCACAGATAATCAACGCCACGGCAGACGGCCTTGCAGGCTTCCAGTGCTCCTGTGAGCCTCCATGCGCTCGTGCTTGCTCCCTCATCCTCTCTCTCTCCAGCAGTTCTTGTGCTCTCTCACTTGCTCTTTCACCTTCCTCGCTTCCTTTCTTCTTTCTTGTGTGAGTTTGCTCTAAGACTAACATAGTAATAATTCAGTTGGTTCAAATGTGCGTGTAAGGTATAAACGCTCTTTTGCATATTTCTGCTGTCACTCCTCTCCTCTTGTCTTTGCTCATCTCGTTCTCCGTCCTCTCCCTCCCCTCTTCTCCCCTCCTGTCCTCCTCGCTTCTCCCTTGTCTTCGCTCCTCGGTTTCTCTTCTCTGCTCCCCTCTGCTCTCTCTCTTCGCCCCTCCTCTCCACCCCTCTTCTCTCCTCTTCTCATCACACTCTTACTCTCCTCGTAATTCCTCCTTTTCTCTCCTTGTCGTTGTGCCCCATCTCACTCTTTCAGATCCTCCCAATTCAACGCTCACCACAGGGGTAGGCATACAGCCCACACATCCCCCCTTCCATCTTTTCTCGCACTTATACATGGCCCTTCTCGCCTGTCCCTCCTGTCATCTCTCAGTTGCGCTCAATGCATGTTGTGCTCAATGCATGTTGTGCTCAATGCATGTTGCCCCCTCTGCCTTTTTCTCAGCTGCTGTCACACACTCATGCCTCCTATTTCTCCCTTTGCTTTTCTCCATTGTCTCGGTATGCCAAACCATTGCATCTGGATGGGAAAACTCTCTCATGCTGCCCTCACCTCATGACTGCTCCTTGCTGCCTTTCACCTCATCCCTCCCCCAATGCTTCTTTTCTCGCACCTTTCTTAGGTTTGCACCCCTTTGCAACCCTTCTCACCCGTTCCTCGCCCATTTCCTATTCTTCAGAGGAAGGCTCGGAGCCTCTGGGAGCGGGCAGCACAGGCTGTCAGCCAAACCTCTTCTTGGCACCAGGCTCGGCAGCAGGCTCGGCTCCAGGGCCGGAAACGCCTGGCAGAGGACGCTGCTACTGCTGCTGTTGCCTCTTCGCTTGCTGCTTTGTCTGCTGCTTTGTTTGGTGGGTAAGGGCCCTTCTTTGTGAGGCGCCTCTAAAAAGCGCACTAGTGTCGATTTTTTGTTCCCCATCACACCACCACTCCCTGCCCCCTCTCCAGGAACACGCATACCTACGACTCCACCTCCTAACCACCCCTTCCCCTCACCCCCCCTCTCCCCCACGCTCCTCCACTCCAGGCAGCGCTACAAGCATCTGGACCCACCTCGGCTCCACCGACGCTCAGCGAATCACAAGCCTCCACGTGGCAGTCGCCCGGGCCCTCTACACAGCTGTCAAGGACGATTGCCTAGTCGGCTCCCCCCTCTTCTCCCCCCGGGCCAACCCCTCCTCTCCCTCCTCTCCCTCCTCTCCCTCCTCTCCCTCCTCTCCCTCCTCTCCTCCCCCTCGCTCCTCTCGCGCTTCCGCTCGTCGCTCCACCCGCCCCTCCTCCCCCGCTATCCTCCCGCCTGTCATCCTCTCCCCGTCCTCTCGGTCTCGACTTGCTGCTTTCCTCTGCGTGCTGTTTGCCGGGGAGGAAGCTGCTCGGAAAGTGCCCGAGTGCAAGTACACGTCATCGTGGGACGGGTGGCAGCTGGTGTCTGCTTCTGAGCTGGCGGCCGACGTGCCGTGGACTGTTGCGCTGTGAGTTGCCAATCCTGGGCTAACCGCACGTCGCAATACAGTGTTGCTCCGTGACAAAGGCACATGCTGTTCACACCACCATCGTCATTCACCTGTCTCTCCCCTTACTGCATTTCAGATGCTTAACGTCCACACTTTTCCTTTTTCACTCCCTTTTTCAACTCACGGTGCTGTGCATACTCACTGCAGCAATCAGACGGCCCGCCTGTCTCGGGACCAGGCGGCTCGTTTTGTCCTTCTCCTCACAGCGGCGCTCAAGTCCGTCGTCCTGTTGCCGGACGATGACGTGGCAGATGCCGCCCGGCTGCTGCGTGCACTTGATCCTGTTGTTGTGGACCCCTCCCTGCCTTCCTGTGGCACCACTGGTGAGTGCGGGGATGGGATGGGAATGGTGGGAAGTCACGGCGGCGCTCAAGTCCGTGGTCCTGTTGCCGGACGATGACGTGGCAGATGCTGCCCGGCTGCTGCATGCGCTCGACCCTGTGGTCGTGGACCCCTCTCTGCCTTCCTGTGGCACCACTGGTGAGTGTGGGACGAGCATTGGGTGGGCCACATGTGCTGTGCCATGGGTAAAATCTCATGTTATTCCCTTGTGTTGCCATGCCATGTCATTCCATGCCACGCCATGTGCGACATCTGACGTCATTCTCTTGTGTGTTCTCCGATGCTCCCCGCCACCAGGCACGGGTCCCACGGTGATGTGGGGGGCCAGCAGGCAGCCCAGCACAGTGGTGCTTTCTCCCTTGTGTGCCATGCCATGTGTCTCATATCACTCCCATGTGTGCTTCACCATGTGCGCCATACACCATGCTATGCCCCGCCACCAGCCACAGGCCCCACGGTGATGTGATGTGGGGGGCGAGCAGGCAGCCCAGCACGGCGGTGCGTACTCCGTTCCGTGCCATACCATGCCATGTGTGGCATCTCATGTCTCTCCCTCGTCTCGTGTGTACCATCCCTTGCCCCACCACCAGGCACGGGTCCCACGGTGATGTGGGGGACGAGCAGGCAGCCCAGCACGGCGGTGCGTACTCCGTTCCGTGCCATACCATGCCATGTGTGGCATCTCTCTCCCTCGTCTCGTGTGTACCATCCCTTGCCCCACCACCAGGCACGGGTCCCACGGTGATGTGGGGGGCGAGCAGGCAGCCCAGCACGGTGGTGCCGGTGGGGGAGCGAGTCACGTGGGTGTGGGCGGACGGGCAACCGCATGCCATCAACGGTGGGTGCACCTGCATTGCATTTGCAATGCTGAATATGATGCTGTGTGTACGTGCCATGCAATGCCAAGCAATGCCGTGCTGGTGGGGGAGCGAGTCACGTGGGTGTGGGCGGACGGAAAGCCTCATGCCATCGACGGTGGGTGGACCTACAAGCTCTGAATCTTATACCCATGCTGTGTATGTGCCTTACAATGCAATGCACTGCCATTCCATGCTGGTGGGGGAGCGCGTCACCCCTCCTCTTCCCTCCTCTTACCTGCCTTCCTGTCCCGCACTCTACGCATCCTCCCATACCCCTTCATTCCTCTTCCTCATTGCACCTCCTTTTCTTACACTTGCCCACCTTCAGTGGCGGGGTTTGGAGATGCTGCAACCACGCCTTTCTATGGCATGGGCAGCGGGCGGCTGGTGGTGAGTGCTGACGTGGCATGCAGTGCGGAGAACGTGGGGACCACGGCGACGCTCATCAACGACTCACACGCGTCCACCGCTGATCCTGCGCCATGTGTTCTCAGTGAGTTGGGGACCCATGTATCAATGCTCCCCTGCTCTTTGGCCCTCGTGTCCCCATGCCCCCATGCCCCCACGCCCCCGTGCTCCAATGCCCTCTTGCAGTACAGGAAACCTGAACCCGAAACCTTCAATCTTACACCCTTGACCTTTTCTTTCACTCAAGACCCTTCCATCATCCCCCCTTCCTGGAATATATTATTTTTGCACTTCCGCCTGCAATTATCTCTCCTTCACCTGTCTCCTTTCCCGTCACCCCCACACTCCCCCTCCCTCGTATCATCGCAGGACCCACCAGCAGCATGGCTGCCTCGTCCCCACCCACCCCCTTCTCCTACACCACAGTCTTCCCTGTGCCGGGGACCTTCGTCTACGAGTGTTCACGCGTGGGGGAGCCCATGCGAGGCTCTGTCACTGTCCTCCCCCCCTCTTCCTCCTCCTCGCCTTCCCCACCCCCCTCCTCCTCCTCTCGTTCCCGCGCTGCCATTGGTCAGTCCAGCAAGCCAATAGAATGCGCGCCAGGCTGCCTCCTTTCCTCACTAGCAGACGGAAAATGCAACCCACCCTGCAACGTCGACGAGTGTGCATTTGACGGCGGGGACTGCGCATGCGCCCTGCCGGCCACGTCCATTCCCGAGCCTGCATCCGTAGCTTCGGGCTCGGTGCCAGGCTCGGGGTTAGGTCCGGTGGGATTCGTGGCCCGGCCGCAGTACTGCCCCTGTCCTCCGGGACAGGTTCGGTCGGACGAAGGATGTGAGCGATAGGGCGGCTGGTGGTGACGGGTGGTGGGGGGAGATGGGTGGTGGGGGGAGATGGGTGGTGGGTGGAGGTGGAGATGGGTAGGGATGGGTGGTGGGGAAAGATGGGACGATGGTCAAATCAAGGAGTATGGAGACGCCTCAAGAATAGGGAGCAGCCAGTGACTTTGTCATCTCACACTTTCCGTCCCAACCCCCACTTTCCAACCCCCACTTTCCAACCCCCCCTTTCCAACCCCCACTTTCCAACCCCCCCTTTCCAACCCCCCCTTTCCAACCCCCCCTTTCCAACCCCCCCTTTCCACCACCAACTCACTCCTCACCCTCCTTCCACTTTCCCCCCTCTCCCTCTCCGCTTCCCTCAATTGCATGGCCCCCTTCCTTCCAGCATGCTGCATGACGTCAGCCATAGGGGACGGCCTCTCTTTCCCCTTCACCCTCGACATGTTCTCCAATGCCACGTCAGCAGCCGGCAACGCCGCGTCGGCTGGCAACGCCACGTCAGCAGTTGCGTCTGCTGCCGTGGCGGCAGGCAATGCGTCGTCAGCAAACGGCACTGAGGAGGTGGCACTGTCTCGCTTCGTGGCGGAACAAAACAGGTGCGGAGGCAGGGGGAGAGGGGGAGGGGAGAGGGGGAGGGGTAGGGTGTTGTACGACAGCACAAGTGGGTCGTGGCTTTGAGGCGGTGTGGGGTGGGAAGAAGGGGCCAATAGCAGATTCCTTGGGGGGTTGGGAGGGGGAACACAACGGAGCAGGTGAGCAGGGTGTGCAACTAGGCTGGGGAACACAGGCGCACAGCACGAGAGGCTGGAGTGGTGGTTTCCTATGGCTTGCTATCCAATAACTAAAGCTGATTCTGCTTGCATGGTGCATTCATGTTGCATGCGTGGCACATGGATGTTGGATGGTGCATGGGGCATGTGGCATGACACGTGGTGCATGGTGCATGGTGCATGGTGCATGGTGCATGGCATGGCATGGCAGGGTGCTGATAGGACTGAAGATTGAGCAGACTCGGTGGGACGCCGTAACCTGCCAGCCATACAGGTGAGCTGGGCAATCATCCAGGTCAGCAGTTCAAATCCTTTGTTACCCTCACGTCCACGCACTCACTTTGAGGCATCTCAAATCCAGTTCCTCTGCTTCCCTCCTTCCCCTTGCACAATCTGAGGCGTGTCACTCCATCCTCTCTGTCCTCTCCACCCCCCAGGTTCTCCTCCCTGTTCCAGCACTGCATGAACGGCATATCCACGTGCTTGCACCTCATTTAAAGAAGCAGCTCTCCTCAGCACGCCCAACACCCACTCCCCACCCTCTCCCCAACCCCCATTGTCACCACCCAGGTTCTCCCCCTCTTTCAGAACTGCATGAACGGCATATCCACGTGCTTGCACCTCATTTAAAGAAGCAGCTCTCCTTCTCAGCACGCCCAACACCCACTCCCCACCCTCTCCCCAACCCCCATTGTCACCACCCAGGTTCTCCTCCCAACGGCATATCCACGTGCTTGCACCTCATTTAAAGAAGCAGCTCTCCTTCTCAGCACGCCCAACACCCACTCCCCACCCTCTCCCCAACCCCCATTGTCACCACCCAGGTTCTCCTCCCTCTTTCAGAACTGCATGAACGGCATATCCACGTGCTTGCACCTCATTTAAAGAAGCAGCTCTCCTTCTCAGCACGCCCAACACCCACTCCCCACCCTCTCCCCAACCCCCATTGTCACCACCCAGGTTCTCCTCCCTCTTTCAGAACTGCATGAACGGCATATCCACCGCCCCCTTTGGCGTCAACCCGCACTTCCTGCCCTCCTCCTCGCTCTACTTCCCTGACGCCTACGTGGCGCTCAATGACTCGCTGACCAGCGCTGACGTGGACACCATGCAGCCAATCGCGACGCGGCCTGACGGCGTACCCTATGGCTTCCAAGTCGCCAAGGTAACTGCTTCTTCCAAGTCTTGCCAGCATGACGAGAGGGTGTTTTTGACACCATGCAATGAAGGTGTGTGATGGTTTTCTCAGTGGTATTTGACATCCATCCAGACAACAAGGCCCACAACCTCGCTTGTATTGCAGGATTCCCTCCCCTGTAACACTCCATCCCCCTTCCCCTCCTCCCCTCTACCAGGCGAAGGAGAAGGTATTCACGGTGATATTTGGCATCAACCTGGACAACAAGGCGGCCACACCCACTGGTGAATGGCATTCATTTTTCCTGTATCCCCCTCTCTCCCTCCCTGCCTCCCTCGCACCAGGCGAATGAAATTGTGTTTCCGGTGATATTGGGCATCAATCTGGACAACGAGGCAGCCACACCCACTGTTAGTCAACGTAAACCTTGCTTGCATCCACCTCCCCCTCTCCCCTCCCTCGCACCAGGCAACTGAGAAAGTGTTTCCGGTGATATTCGACATCAATCTGGACAACAAGGCAGCGACATGCATTGGTAACCCCTCCCATTCCCCCTCCCTTTCCCTTTCACCTCCCCTTTTCCACAACCCCACTGCTGCCAGGCGAACGAGAAGGTGTTTCCGGTGATATTTGGCATCAATCTCGACAACGAGGCGGCCACACCCACTGGTGAATGGCATTCATTTTTCCTGTATCCCCCTCTCTCCCTCCCTGCCTGCCTCCCTCGCACCAGGCAAACGAGAAGGTGTTTCCGGTGATATTTGACGTCAACCTGGACAACGAGGTGCCTCACACACTGTATACTGATATCAATTCATGCTTGTATCCACTCCCCTTCCCCTCCCCATCCCCCTGCCAGGCAAATGAAAAGGTGTTTCCGGTGATATTTGACATCAACCTGGACAACGAGGCAGCCACGCGACGCCTGCAGTATCTGGCGGACAGCTTCTTCATCGACAATGCCACGCAGTCCGTCTCTGTTGCCATGCTCACCTACAATGGTGCGTCATGGTGGTGTGTGCTTGGGGTGTGTGATGCCATGCTAATACACTATGAGGCGCCTCAAACATAGGCTCACAATCAGCGCACCACAGCGCAGCGGCGCCTGCAGTATCTGGCGGACAGCTTCTTCATCGACAATGCCACGCAGTCCGTCTCTGTCGCCATGCTCACCTACAACGGTGCGTGCGTGCTTGTCTAGGTTCGCTCACAACAGCAGGTGTGTTTCGGGTGTCGTGCCGTGCACCCCGTTCAGTGATGGCATGCATGTTCAGCGCACCACAGCGGTGGGCGGCGCCTGCAGCATGTGGCGGACAGCTCCTTCATTGACAACGCCACGCAGAGTGTCTCTGTCGCCATGCTCACCTACAACGGTGCGTGCATGCTTTGACACGTACGAACCTCTTTCTCTTGTACAGCCCCTTGTTGCACCTCCCGTTTGAGACTCCTCAAAAAAGCCACCCTGTGCTGTATCGATTGACTCATTAGCTCATGTAACCCCTGTACCCCTGTTGCACCACCCACCCGCCCGCCCACGACCACAGGCGACTCCAGTCTGTTTGTGTATACCACCGTGCGGCTCAACTTTGAGGTCCGTATGCACCTCCTCCTCCCTTCTTGTCCCATGAGGCGTTTCTTGAGTCAGCTCGAAAATAACCTTGTATGCAGTTCCTCCATTCGTGTCCCATGAGGCGTTTCTTTAGTCAGCTCAAAAATAACTTCGAAGTTAGCATGCATATGCAGTTCCTCCATTCTTGTCCTATGTACAGCCCCTTGTCAATCAGAGAGGTTCCTGAGAGCATATAATTCTTTCCTTCTCCAGATTGGAGGCAAGATAGCAGTGACATACAGTGTGGACCCAGTAGACGTGGAGCTCTACTCGTCCAGCGCCGACTGGGTGCGGCTGACGGTGACGGTGCTGTATGTGTGCGCCGTGGTCTGGAACCTCATAGAGGAGCTCGTGGAGGCGTTTCAATGCTGGCTGGAGACAGGCAGGGTGAGTGTGCAACAACTCTGGGTTTGGGCTGGGCTGGAAAGACTGGGTGCACCTGGTTCGATGGTGACGGTGCTGTATGTGTGCGCCATGGTGTGAGATCTTATAGAGGAGCTCGTGGAGGCCTTTCAATGCTGGCTGGAGACGGGCAGGGTGAGTGAATAGCTGAGTTGGGTCGCTCTATGTTCCCGTGTTGGTTAGAAACGGGCTGGGTGATTTAGTGAGTGAGTGCGTGAGCTAAGTTGAGTTCTCTTATCTTCCAGTGCTAGCTGCAGACCAGCAGGGAGAGTGACTGAGCAGACTGCTCGTTGCATTCTCTATGTTTCTCTGCGTTGTACTCTGCATATTTTTGCTCCATATCCTTGCTTGCATCTTGAGTTGCTCTTCCGTGTGTTCGCCTCAAATGCCGTTCCTTCTCCCTTACCCAACCTTGCTTGCTTTCCCTTTCTCCACCCCTCTGCTTCCCTTCCCCCCATCCCCTCAGATCACATCATACTTCCGAACGCTGTGGAACTGGCTGGATGTGCTTTCTCTCACCATCCAATTCATTGGCATCATCATGTGGTGAGTCACGGCATCAGCATGTGGTGAGTCACGGCTGCACTATGTGGTGAGTATCATGACTGTGTCAAAATATTCGGTTCTGAGATGAGCAATATTAAGTCAGTCCAACCTACCCCCACCCTCCACTGATTACATACACATAATTCAAGTCATAGACATCTGTGGTATAATATTCCCTTTTGCTGTTTCTGCTTCTTTCTGGCGCCCCTTGTTGGATCTCCCCGTCACGCTCACCCTCCACCTCTTCTTCCCCCAATTCATTCTCGCAGGTTCATCATATCAGCACAGCTGGCCGGTGCCTTCTAGGTGGTTTAAGAAACCTCATCTCATCCCCCTCCTCTCCACCCCCACCTCATCTCCTCCCCCTCCTCTCCACCCCCACCTCATCTCCTCCCCCTCCTCTCCACCCCCACCTCATCTCCTCCCCCTCCTCTCCACCCCCACCTCATCTCCTCCCCCTCTTCTCCACCCCCACCTCATCTCCTCCCCCTCCTCTCCACCCCCACCTCATCTCCTCCCCCTCCTCTCCACCCCCACCTCATCTCCTCCCCCTCCTCTCCACCCCCACCTCATCTCCTCCCTCCTCCCCCCGCGCAGGTTCATCATATCAGTGCAGATGGCCGGAGGCTTCCAGGTGCAGCCGCGCTACGACATCTATGTCTCGGGGGACTCGCCCTTTGTCTGGCGGGTGAGTGCTTCCTTGGAAACAAAGAGTCTTAGCCTTGCCTTACCGTGATGGGTGGGTGGGTCCTTGTCTCGACACAAGCATTGTCCTCTTGCCGGGTGAGGCGTTGCAACTTGCCTCACCACATGCCTCTTCCCATCCTTGTGTCTCTTGCTATCCCCGCGTATCCCTCCTCCTTTTTCCCTTTCTCCTCTGCCCATTCACTCCTCAACTACAGCAGCACCCTCCTGTGTGTGGGCTGTGAGCAGGGAAGAGGCACTGAAAAACTCAGTGGCCCCATCCTGGTCTCCCGGCACATCCCTTCCCCATTCCTCCTCTCCTCCCTCCCCACAACAGCTGCTGTACCCCCCAGTGGGCTACGAGCTGGCGCAGGGAGTGTGCGACTCGGTTCTCAACCTCGTGCAGTGGCCTCTGCTTTTGTCTCCCTGCATATCCCTTTCCGCTTCCCCCTCTCCCACACACCTCCCCCCTTCCTCTCCCCAACAGTTGCAGTACCCCCCGATGGGCTACGAGCAGGCGCAGGCAGTGTACGACTCCATTCGCAACCTCGTGCAGTGGCGCTCCATCCTGGTGTCGCTGCAGGGCATCAAGTGAGTGAGTCAGCTGCAGAGAGCGTTGACTAAGCTTTAGCCACGTGTGTCACGGCAGAAAATTCGAGTGAGTGTGAAGGAAGGAAGCATACGGTCAGTCTCAAACCTTGTTGTTGCAGGTGATTTTTGAAAGCTTTCGAAACTCACCTGCAACACTCATCCCCCCGCCCTTCCTTCCTTCAGCGTCTTCCTCATCCTCCTCTGCCTATTGAAGCTCGTGCACTTCCTCCACCTATCTCTTGACTTGACATCTTGTGACTGACTGACCTCCTATCCTTCATCCCCACTCCTCTCCCCCCGCCAGCGTCTTCCTCTTCCTGCTGCGGCTCCTCAAGCTGATGGACTTCCAGCCGCGCATCGCCATTCTCACGCGCACCATGGCGGCAGCCTTCCCCGCCCTCGTGCACTTCTTCCTGCTCTGGGCCATCATGTTCATCGGCTTCTCCTTCTATGCCTACGTGGTCTTTGGACGAACGCTGGAGCAGGTATGAACCTGGACATAGAGCGGTACTAGCCGGTGCCACTGGGTTGGCAGGTGCAGTGCAGCAGGTGGGTGGGGTGCCTTCCCCGCCCTCGTGCACTTCTTCCTGCTCTGGGCCATCATGTTCATCCTCTTCTCCTTCTATGCCTACGTCGTGTTTGGCCGCACTCTGGAGCAGGTATGGTGCTGGGCGTATGTGTGTCACCCTGTTGGAATGTGGAAACAGTTTGGGTCTGTGTACCCCCCACCCTCCCCCCTCTTTGACCCCGTCTTCCTGCTCTCAGCTATCATGCTCATGTGCTGCTTCTCCTCCCCGCCTTCCTTCTTTCAACAGTTCAGCACGGTGGCCATGTCGATGGTATCGTGTTTCCTCATCCTGATCAACGACAACAGCACCGGGTACTATTTCATTCAGCTGGAGGGGTGGAACCTCACAGCCGCCATCATCTTCTGGGTGGCCTACATCAGCGTCATGGTGTTTGTCATGCTCAACGTTCTGATTGCCATTGTGGTGGACGCCTTTTTGGAAGTCCGGGTAAGTGCTTTCACAGCAGAGAGTCATATGGTGCATGCCTGCCTGGCTCCTCATTCACTCACAACAGCAGCCACCATCACATCTTCTGGGTGGCCTACATTAGCGTCATGGTGTTTGTCATGCTCAACATGCTCATTGCGATCGTCGTCGACGCATTTCTGGAAGTCCGGGTACGTGCACTCAACTCAACTACAACTTCCCCACCTTGCGAAGTCAATGTACGTGTTGAAATCGTGGGACATGGTGCAGTGCATGCATGCCTGTCACCACTCACAGCAGCCTTTTTTTTCTGGGTTGCCTACGTGCATCTGAACCATTGGCGTGCTGGCCTTTGTCTCGCCTCAACGTTCTCATTGCAATCGTGGTCGACGCGTTCTTGGAAGTCTGGGTACATGTTGAGTGTGAGGGGCGCGCAGCCTAGATAGGGTGCAATGCATGTCCGGCACCTCACTCACTCGTCACATCGTCACAGCAGCCATTAGCCATCGTCACATCTTTCGGATCGCCTTCTTCAGCATGATGGTGCTTGTATCGCAATCGACTTCAATTTCTCTGTTGTGCCTATCTCATACTATTATAGTGTAGGAGTCTCATTGTGTCCCTCTGCTTTCTTACTGCGCTTTCCCTTCTATCCACTCGCGTCCTTTCCCACACTACCGTCTACCCAGAAATCCACTGAAGAGTCACCAGCGTTCCCAGTGGACATGTGGAATGTGCTGCGCAACGTGATACTGCGCCTCACCCTCTCTCCCCCTCCTTTCTCCCCCCGTCTCATCCCCTCAGAAATCCACTGAAGAGTCACCTGCATTCCCAGTGGACATGTGGCATGTCATGCGCAACGTGCTGCTGCACCTCTCTCCACGCCCTTCCTCGCCCTACCTACCCTCTCTTCTCCCCTTCCCTTCTCCGCATCCATCCCTTGTTACCAGAAATCAACGGAGGAGTCACCGGCATTCCCAGTGGACATGTGGTATGTGCTGCGCAACGTGATACTGCGCCTCTCAACGGACTATTGGAAGCCGGGAAGGCTGCAGCGCCACCTGCTCATGCTGGGGGCAGATGACGGCTATGTAGCGGTGAGAACGGGATAGGGTCGTCTTTGGAGGGTTCTTGAGACGTAAAAGAAAAGGGCATCAGTGGACTCTCAAGCTATGTGCTGCAGCGCCACCTACTCATGTTGGGGCAAATGATGGCTATGCAGTCGGCTATGTAGCGGTGAGAATGGGATAGGGTCGTCTTTGGTGGGTTTTTGAGACGTCTAAAAAGGGGTGTAAGTGGACTCTCAAGCAACGTGCTGCTGCGCCTCTCAACGGACTACTGGAAACCAGGACGCCACCTGCTCCAAGTCCACCCATGGCGTTTCTCAAGTGCATCTTCACGAAATTCAACTGCTGGTGCCATTTCCTCCATGATCCATCTCTCCCTTCCCCTCTCCGTCCGTCCCTCTCCTCCTTCTCAGCTGGAGGATTCAGTAATGGCCAAGTCAGCCGCAGCGCTCAAAGAAGGCTTCAATCGAGTCAGCCGCTGGTGCAGAGGCCTCGGGCGCAGCAAGCCGCGACCGCGCAGGGTGCTACGCGTGGGCAAGCGGTGCTTGAATGCCGATGCACTGCTGGGAGTGCTGGAGCGCTGTGCAGCTCACAGGCACCCTGGCAGTGACTCCGTGCGCAGAGGATTCAGCTTCAGACGCCAGGTAAGGGGATTTGGGTGGGACAAGGCAAAGGATGAGGGGGCTTTTGGGGGTGCTGGAGCGCTGCGCTGCCAACAGACCCCCCCGCAGTGACTCTGTGCGGGGAGGAGGCTTCAGCTTTAAGCGACAGGTGGGCTGCCCGCTTGCTTGCTTTTCACTCTCCCTCCCACTGTCAATGCATGAATGGCGACGCCCTGTTGGGGGTGCTGGAAAGCTGTGCGGCTAACAGACACCCTGGTAGTGACTCCGTGCGGGGAGGATGCTTCAGCTTTAAGCGCCAGGTGGGTTGCCCACTTGCTCTCTCTCCCTCCCACAACTCTTTACTTCTCAAGCGAACAGGTGAGCTGCCTGCTTGCCCTCGCTCCGACCGTAAGTCTTGTCTCTTCTGCTTTTCTCTGGGGAGTCTAAATTGGAGAGGCCTTTGCCAGAAACAGGAGGTGAGGTGCTTGTTTCCACACATCCGGGCTGAAACGACACGTGGGGTTGCAGGTAAGATAACCAGTTAGCATGGTAACGACATCTTCTATTTATCCCTCCTGCACTACCTCCTTCCTCCCTCTCCCTTTCAGGCTGATGCCGACCCTACCATTGAGGTTCGGCCCATAGCTAACGTGATCCTGGCTCAGTTCGGGGAGGTTCTGGACGGGATGGCAGCCCCGGTGGCCCCACTCAGGGAGCAGGAGCAGCAGCAGCAGCAGGAGGAGGAGGAGCATAAGAGACTCAAAGACACACTCACTAGGGTTTCTAGAGACGCTGCTATGACAGCGGAGGGACTAGAAGTGCTGAGGGGGGAGGTGCAGCTGCAGCGGAGGGCAGTGAGGAGGCTGCAGAAGCAGGTGGTGCAGCAGGATATGAGGGCGATTGAGCATGCGAGTGCGCTGCATCAGCAGCTGCTGCTGCAGCAGGAGCTCATTCTGCGGCTGTTGAACTCCCAAAGCGACTCCGATGCAGCTTGAGCCTCCGTGGTGGGTTGAGTTGACTCAGACAGACTCAGTCAGCATGTGGTGCTGGTAAAAGATGCCTCTTTGATAGCTGCAGCAGGGGGTTTTTCTGCGTCAATTGAACTCCCAGAGCGACTCCGACACAGCTTGTGAGAGGCGTCAAACCTGGGGAATCTGCTGGTCTGGTGGCTCATAAGTCATCTCAGAAAGCGAGATATGCAGAGCTTGATAGCGTGTTACAACAGCAGTTGCTGCAGCAGCAGGAACTCGTTCTGCGTCTGCTGCTTGACTCCCAGGGCTACTCGGATGCAGCTTAAGATGAGGGACCGCGTTATCTTCGAAGCTAACGCAAACGGCATGCGGAGCAGGAAGCGGGGTTTGCCTCTAGGACAGCTGCTTCAGTGGGGATATCTGTATGAGGCTGCTCAACTTCCAGTGTGACTCTGTTGCAGCTTGACTCTGTTTTGTCAAGGTTCATAAGTTTTGTTGTATTTATGTACGGTACCATTAAAACACAGATGTGGTGTAAGGCGGGCCTTGTGAGGCTCCTCAAACATAGACTTCTGGATGGTATCTCAAGGTACCGGTCGGAAACGCCCTGACCCTGTGCCAGTAGTTAAGGACCTCTTCTGTCCGCAATGCCCATGTAGTAGTCTCTGCTTTTCATATGCCATGCCTAGATGGTTCTGCCATTGCATGGTGTGGCTGGAACCATTATGGAGTTTAAAATAATAGTTTAACACTAGAGGTACAAAGCAAAGAGGGCGCATTCCTGAATTTGTGTCAAAGCTTGTGCTAGGACAGACACAAAGTCAGGACAGGCCCTGAGAAGAAACAAGCAAACACCTAAGGGGGAGTATGGCAATAAGAGAGCCTATGGTATTCAGATCTGAAGCCTTCATGCTGATGCCCCATTCACAGCGAGATGCTGGGTATACACTGCTCGTTGTACTTCTTAGCGGAAAACGGGTCTAGCTGCATCGAGCATTCCACATGCACCATAACGCGCGGCGACGAGATGCCCCAGTATTTCACGCGCGTGGCAGTGCCAACCACCACCCGCATTTCCGCGCGCCCATGCAGCAGCGGCGTCGTCAGCAGGCTAGCGGGACTCAGCGTCGCCAGAGGCGCGTCGACAATATCGAGGGGGACAGTCATCCGCGCGTTCCCACCCTTGCTCATGCCCACAACGCCAGGCAGAGTCACATTCGCAACATGCATGTCGAAGAATTTCACGTCGATGCTGATGTCTTCCGCTTCCACGTCCCAGTTGTTGGGGTTATACACTAGAGCGGTGACGTTTATTAACGCGGATAGGCCCAGGCGGAAGTTTTCGAGGCCCAGGAAGCCGCCGCCGGATTTGGTGATGCCGATGCGGATGATGTTGATTTGCTCGACCTTCACCTCCGGCTGTTGCTTCGAGACTGTCAGGTATGCGACGAGCCCTGCGACGCCTAGGCCGACGATAACGACTGCGAGCACGATGAGCGACCAGCATGCGACGCGGCAGCAGCAGGTCCGGCGACGACGCCTCTGGCGATCCTTCTCGTCCTTGCGAAGATTTTCTATTTCGTCTGCCGTGCTGGTTACTTCCATAGGGTTAGCGATGCGCAAATCGGAAGGGTAAACTGGGGTGAACTCTCGCGAATCCTCCTCATCCGCGCTCCCACTTGCGGAAAATGCGTCCTTTGCGAGGGGAGGCGCGCAGCAGAAGAGGGGAAGCGACTTTCCATGTGGCGACGTTGAAACGGGAAGCGGGTCATCTGAAGCTAAAAAAGCGGCTTCTCCTGATTCAATGTCTTCGTCAGGCGCGGTCTGCGGTGTGGACTTGGAAGTCATTGCGGAATTGTTGTCAACAGCCATGCCTGTAGTTTCTACGGTGAGGCGAGTTGGTCACAGGTGCAGTGGATCTAGAGACGGTTCAGAGAGGTGCAACGGAGTGGATAGTAGTGTGGAAGGGAGTTGGTTGAGCGGAATCGTGCAGTGGAGTTGGTAAGTCGAGTTGCTTTGAATTGGTCTGTTTGCAATGCCCTTGCTCTCGCGTATTTATCGTGCAAATGGGGGCGAGAATTGCGATGGTTGCGTGCGCCCACTCTACCCTGGAATTCGGGCCCTGAGGGTGCATTTTGAATCGAGTCGCGCCCAGGGTAGTAGCGGTTCGCTGTCCGCGGTTTGGCTGTAAACAGAAGGTTCCTCTTCCTCGGTGATTGGGAATGCGGACAAACGAGCAAGACAAACCAGGCAGCACGGCTCGGTGAGCCTTTGGTAGCCCAGACCTAAACCTAGACTAGGTTCGCTTTTGACTCTGGCCAACACAGGATTCGTCACGAGGGAATCCGAGAGGAGCTACCAGACATCTGGACTGAAAACCTACAGCTGTAACAGAGTAAACAATCAATATCGAATACCTAGGTTGTTCTTTAGTTGTTGAGCCTAGGTCAAGTCAAGTCTATCTCATAATACTGCCACAAAATTTTCAAGATTCCGTGCCGTGTAACTCAGAATTTAATCCAGAATTTCATCTCAAGTATGCCCACTCTATGATGATGCCAAACAGTCGTGCTTCCAATGTACAACTCATCACATCAGTGCTCTACACTATTCTTCATATTAGGGCCATTGTGCCGCCGCCGTCAGATGTCACGGGTCAAGTGAGTCAAGTGTTGGTTACGTGAATGTCACATGTCAAGTGCTGCCTGTGCTCGATCAAAGAGAGCGGCGAACGACCACAGGGACGCAAACAGTGCCTGCACAGAAAAACACCCCATGCTGAATGTTAAACAAAACTTCAATGTGTGGATGTCAGGGAAAGAGGGTAAAGAAGCATATTTGTGTGTTGAAGGTTGGTGAATGATCCAACGAGGGAGGGGGCTTACGTCTGAAGTTGAGGCTTGGGGTTTAGACTCTCCAAGGTAGCATGCCAACCGTCGAAGCGTTGACCTGATGGGATAAAAGGCAGGACAGCGAGAATGCCAATGCGCGCACCAGGTTCACCAAGACGTTGACACACGGATGTTGCGAAACTGGATGTATGTACGCTACACTACTACCGATGGCAACAATATATACAATGAGTACCACACTGCAAACAGCCATATGCTGCTCACACATCAACGCATTGTGCTCACCTGCAGTCTTCAACATCATTGGCCAGTTCCTCCCTCTCCTTCCTCGCTCTCAATCTGAACTCTGCCAGCACGGCCAGCAGCCCACCCTCCCTTACCCCCTTCCCCTTCCTCTGCCTCTCTGCCTCACCCTTGCTATCGTGCCCCTCCCCCTGTCCCTCCTCCCTCTCCTTCTCCGGGTGCTTCTCCTCTTCTTCCTCCTCCTCCTGCTCCCCCTCCCCCGCCTTCAGCCCCACCTCTTCTCTCTCCTGCTGCAGAAGCCGCACCTCCTCATCCACCAATCGCAGGCCTGTGTCGAGTGCTGATGTGGCATCTGCCACGTCAGCTTGGGACATCCGAACTGCCTCACCAACTGCGGCCAGCTCCACTGTAAGCTTCCCCCTCCCCCCTTCTCCCCTTTCTCCTCCCTTGTTTCTGACTGCACTGCCCAAAATGTTGCTCCCCACTTTGCCTGCCTCTTCTTCTCCCCCCTCTGGTCTGGTTGAGTCGCTTCCCCTCGTTAAAATCACCACCACATCAAGAAGCGTTGTTGCACGGGCGATCAAGGGAGGAGGATGAGAAGGATGGGAAGGGAAAGGGGAGGCTGCAGGAGTGGTGGTAGCGAGGGTTGAGGATGAGGGGAACGGGGAGGAGGGACGAGAGGAGGATGAAGCGGAGGAAAACGGGGAAGGGGAGGAGGAGGACGAGGATGAGGAGGCGGAGGAGGAGGCGGAGGAGGGGGGGGCATTGGCGCGAATGACAGGGAAGGACTGTGTGCGCGAGAATCGAGAACCGGGAGGCAGTACCTGGGAGGAGTTTAACTGTTGAGTCGACTCAGAAGCGACCTGGGGGGCGGTTAACAGTGTGTCAAGGCCCTTGGCGCGGTGCGATGGGGGAGTGACCCGCACTTCTGAGAGGCGGGCAAGAGAGTCCAGAGAGAACCCGCGGGCTGAGCCTGGAATTTAGGGGGGAAGGCGCAGGGGAGAGAAGGGTGGGCAGCAGGTTAGAGAGTGACGCGTGTGGGGTGGTTTTATTTGCACCGGCTTCGCTATTTCCCCTTTCCCTGCCTGCCATTCATTCACTTGCCACCCCAACGCTTCCCGTACAAGACCTATGGTACCCTTCCCATCCCTCTCCAACCCCTCTCACCCCTCTCGACCCCGTCTCACCCCTCTTCAACGCAACTCACCCCTTGCACTGCCTCGGTTGAGCTCGTTCCCCACTTGAAGCGCCGCTGCCAACGCTGCCCGGAGAATCGTGCTGCTGCGGATCGCTCGGGCAGCAGAACAGAAAACTTTTATGACTGCCCGGGCGTCGTTGACTATGGTGTGGAAATGCCGCACAAACATAAGCGCCTCAATTTTCCTCCTCATTCTCGGAATCAACGATATGGACCACAGGAAACGCTCAGGTGCACACATAGCACCTGCAGCAGCACCTGAGACTGCCCTGAATTTCGCTGCCTCCTCCTCTGTTGGAATCACCTGAAGCAGCAGGCCCAGGCGGTCAGGTGGCAGCACGTGCTTGGGATCTCCTGCGAGGATCAAATCTCGGAATTGATTTTCGGGCATACGGAACTGAGTGAGCATGATGGCTACGTTGTTAGCACGAGCTAAACCAACCACTTGCAACTCATCCTTCCCTAGTCCCTTCCGCCCTCCCGGTCCTCCCCCTTCCCCTTGCAACCCTCCTCCTGCCTTCGACTTTCCCCCTGGGTTTGTTGCTTTCACCTGAAAAAGCACCCTAATGGCTCGTCTCATGTCATCTGGTAGTGTCACCTTCGATACAGGCACACTAATCCCCCCATCACCCCTTGTCTCTTCTCTCTCCCCTTTACCCGCGCCCTCTCTCTCTATCTCCTCCCATACAGTCCCTTTCACATTAGTCACTTTGTTCCAGTGCAAGGGGCGGGCAGGGGGGAAAAGGTCCCCTTCCCCCTCCGCCCCTCCCCCTTCCCCTTCCCCCTGCTTTCCCCCCATTCCAGGCGCAGCCAGTTTCCCTGAGGCTAGGCGGATAGGGGGAGGGGGAGGGGGGGGGCGGCCGGTGGGTGGGGGAGGGGGAGGCGGAGGGGGGATTGAGGGAGGAGGGACTTGAGTAGGTTGAGCGGGTGTGGGTTTGAGAGGGGAAGAGGAGGGAGGAGGAGGATGTGCCTCCGCTGCTCCTGCTGCTGCTGCTGCTGCTGCTGCTGCTGCTGCTGCTGCTGCTCCAGATGATGATGATGGTGTTGGTAATTCTGCTGCTGATGCCGCTGCTGCTGACGCTGTTGCTGTTGCAGGTGTTGAGGATGATAACGACAATGGTTCAGGTAGAGAAGCAAGTGGTTGTGCACCTCTTGTCATGTGGCCGGCAGGACGAGCAGCACTTGTTTTCAAGTGATCTCCTTTTGCTTCACCCGCCCCTGCTCTCCACTCTCCTCCTGCTTCTCTCCCCTCCCTCACCTCCCTCACAACTTCACTCTCCATGCCCTTCCCCTCTCCCATGCCTTCCCGCTTTGCCCCCATCGCATCCCCACCACCCATGCCCTCCCGTTCCCACCCCATACCTTCCGTACCCCCCATGCTCCCCTCCCCACCTATGCCACTCACATATTCTTCCCCATTCCCCATGCCCAGCCTCTCTTCCCCCATCCCCTCCGCGCTCCCCATGCTCCCCTCCTCCCTAGTCCCCCCCGTGACCCCCATTGTCCCCTTCCCCCCCATACTCCCCTCCTGCACCATCCCCTCCACACCCCTTACCATGCTCCCTTCCCCCACAGCTCTCCCCTTCACATCCCCGTCCCCCATGCTGTGCCTCTTTCCGCCCTGCTCAAAGCTCACAGCCTTGCTGTGCCTGTCGGCTCCCTTCAGTCCCCCACCCACCATGCCATGCCTGTCAACCCCTTTCAACCCCCCACCGCCCATGCTGTGCCGCGAGCCTGTGGAGAGGGACATGCGGATGAGCAGGTCTGCTAGCGAGTCAAGCTCCTGTGACGGCTGGGTTGCGGCGGGAGAAGCAGCAGACGGATGGGAGAGGCTGAAATCATCGGAGAGGGATGGAAGTTGGGGGAGGGGTGAGTGGGGAAGTGGTGAGTGGGGGGAGGGTGGCATGTGAGGCGTTGTGGGAGTGGGAGGGAGGTCATACTGAGAATACAGCACTTCGGGCGGCATGAACGCCGTTCCGGGCGGCAGGGATGGCACGGATGGCATGCCCGGGTGGCTTGTTTGTCCTGTATGTCGCAGGAGCGGGTGTGCTTGCACCTCGGTCACCAAACTGCGAGCCAGGCTCCTCCTCTCATCCCCCACTCCAACCCTCCGGCCCCTCTCTTGCTCTTGCAAAGGAGACACCCTGCCCCTCCCATCTACTGCTTCCATTGCAAGAGCACTTTGAGAAAGCGCTGGTCTTGAACTTTCCTGTTGATCCAAAGTGAATGCGCTGCTGCCCCTCCCGTCCACTCCTTCCTCTCCCGCCCGCTCGCTCCTCTCTGCCTCTGCTCTCCCCAGCCTCGTCTCTTCCCTCCCTTGAGCCAACCGCTGCTTCCTGGAAGCTTTCACAAAGTCGTCTCGGTACGCCGCCAGCAGCTGCTGCCACGTCAGCATCGCGCCAGCTGGCGCACCATCCAAGTGGCCGTCGGCCAATGGCGTGCCGCCACGTGGCTGCGGCATCTCAATAAGCACGTCGATGAAAAAGTCTGCCGGTACTTGGATGTCTCCCCCGTAGGCACAGTCGAGCTGGTGTTGGAGGGGAGAAGGGAAGGGG